AATGTCTTTTATTCCACAGGTCCAGTTTCTATGCTCTGCAGTGGTTTACAAGCTATAGGTCCTTCTGGCAAGTCGTGATCATCAGTATGACGGATAAATAAAAGGATGAAAACCTCACTAATATTGGGGAAATGTGCATGCCTTTGCATGCACTTGTTATGATAAAAAAGAGCAACCTAATAATGAAACTCTTCACGTTCTTGTTGAAGGACAATAAAATGTAGGTCAGTAGTAATTCTTTTCTAACTATGGCAATGGTTCAGAGCTTTAGAGAGAAACAAGAAATAGTTTTAGTATGAGTGCTGACAGCTCCAGAACTCTGCACAGAGGTAGAGGTTACTGCTTCAATTATAAGAATGTTTGAAGTATTCAACTAACTGCAATCCTCATTTCATCATAAATGCTCAGCTTTTAAATTCTTGAAGCTGCTTTCAAGCAGAGTACATTCATAGAAGATGTATAAACAGCTTTTGTGATACATGTTATTTAGAAGGTAGAATTTCTAGAATGAACATCTGCAATAGATAGGTTGAGTTGTCATAGACTCATGGGGCCAGATGGGTTACTGGATCTCCTGTGTGTCTCAGATGGCTAATTTGCACATGAATGTGGAAGTGTTGAGCTCACTGATGTGTGCTTGCCTTATATGACTTGCACTTGGCTATAATACACCTTGCAAAAAGACTGCTTTTCTTGATTTTAATGTAGCAAGCAGCAGAGAATCTACCACTTCACTGCTTGTGTATGCTAATTTAATAACTCTTATTGTTAATCCACATTTCTTGTTCGTAGTTTGAATTGGTTTCAGTTGATTTGAGGCAATTTCAACTGCTTTCCATTGCTTCTTGTTGCTTCCTTGGTGCTAGTGAACCAGGTCTCTTACACTGTATTTCCTGTGTCATAGTTCTACGCAGTAGCCATATTCATTTTAAGCTGCAACTGTCTTGAGTTTTTTTCTTTCATTATAAAAAATTTTCTCTGTCCTCTGAATAAGATTCATAATCTTTTCTGTATACACTGTACACGACAGTATTTAGGAAAATACACTAAATCTGTATGCACTAATCCATCACTGGAGTTGCCAGAACGGTGTGTTTAGAGTATTTCTCTTCTCATTTATCATCACAAGATGCAGATTTTTGGGAGTGATAGTATTGCTATGAGATGTCCTGTCGTGACTATAAACTCTTCAAGGTTTCTGCTTTCTTCAGCACACTCCACCATTTTGTACTCATAGCCTGTGTTCCTTATTGGCAAGTATCTTTGCAGTTAAATTACTTGAACTGTAATTTAGATGAATGGTGTCAAGGTACTAAGTGAGGCTGCTGTTATTGACTCCCACCTCCTCATAGTTTATCTCCGCCTCATGTCAATTTCAAAGTTTTCATAGTAGTGAATTAATTCCAGATCACCAGCAATGAAACTGAATACTGTAAAATAGTCTCAGGTCTTGCAGAGCCTGACTTAAAATTGTCCCATCAGATGAAGGCAACCTGTTGATTGTTAGCAATGGGTCAGTAATCAGGTTCTTCAACCCATTTAATGTGTTCTCTCTCCACATTGGGAGTGCTGTTGCAGAATATTACACAATACTAAATCAAATACCCTAAAACAATCCAATAATATTACATGTTCAAAGACATAAAATGATACTGACTGGCATTAACTGTATTCATGTGTCTTAGTTCTTTATCAAGCAAATGCCTAGAATATGTGTATTTCAGCTTTTCCATTATTTTACCCAGGATTGATATTTTGTGAAGTGGCCTGAAGTTACCCAGCCATCCTGCTTGCAAATTTTAATTGGCACAAAATTAACATTTTTGCAGTGTCTCAAAATTTGCTAGAGCTGAACATCATAGCTCCTGGGATCTCTGCCATGTCTTTTTATGATTCCTGTGGAGAAAGTTGTCCAGGCTTGTTGATTAAATAATGGCTAACATTTCCTGTGGATATTAAGGGACTTCATCATCTTTCTGCCTTTCAAGGTCATTGTTCTTGAGTCTTTCAAAACACACAACAGTGCTCATTAAAAACTTCCTTTTTTCTGAATTATTTAATTACTAAGTTACTGCCATTTCAAATTATATCTTTCTCACTTCCATCTTCTTTACTTGATTGGAACCATTGTGGAAAATGTCATTATTCTCCCTTCCCCATGTTTTATCTTCATGTATGTAGGTGTGTATGAAAACAAGAATTGCCCTTTCGCATTGCTGGATTTCCACTTATCTCTAACTTTTTTTTTAATCTTGAATTATTGTAGGTATTTAGTTCTGTGTGGCAGCTATTTGTTGTGCACTCATCTATCTACCATAATCTCCTCTAAAGCTAATTATTCACTTATACCAACCTGGGAATTGAAGATAAAAATCAGCCAAAATGATCAGTGTAAATCAGTGCTGGCATGAATTTCCCAACTCTAAATTTCTAAGCTTATACTTTTAAACATAGCCAAAATTGGAGGACATGCTTTTTGAGTCGGTGAACTCATAAGCTATATCACAGCAATTGGTAGTTTTATGAGGTTGAGACTATAGGTCTCAGAAAAATCATAGAAAGTAATAAGCTGTCAAGTGTAATTTTCTATTATTAGTGTAATTAATATGCAGCTAAAATAAACTGCAACATATATGTACACTGGAGGAAAATGTTTTTTTCATGGGTTTACATCAAAATTATCTAGCTAATAGCTCTGTAAATACTATCCTTTAAGAAATTCAATAAACTATAATTCAGCAATTCATATGAATGTGTCTGTCTCATATGTTGGTGGTGAATAAAAAAATTAAAGGAGGATTTTTTTTAATGCATGCTAAACAACTAGTTAATTTACATAGCACAAATTTTGAATATTCCTTATCTGAAACAAGTTCTGTGCTTTTGGGGACAGTTGTTAATAAGATTTAGAGAGGAACAGGCCTTTAAATTAATAAAGTAAGAGAAGTCATTTTAAAACCTGACTTTAAAATGTCTACTCATACTACTTATTGCAGCTGAACTTTCATACCTGTATGCTTCACTTCTTAAGTAGCCAGAAGTATAATGGCTGTTATTTTACCATTTTCTAAGTCACTATTGAAATTGCCTTCTGAAGAGAAGCAGCATATTTTCAAATCTCGGTGCTGATGCTGGGTAGATGGCAGCAGTGCTCTCTTGTGTGTGATCAGAAAACAATGCAACACAAATGTAGACAAGCCTTATACTCGTGTTCCAAATCTCATCTGGAAGAATGAGGAATAGTATTTTCCAGAAATACTTTTTAGGCTACTCGTCTTGATGAGTCTCTAATAACCCAGGTCTGTTTTCAAAGCTTAATTGTTTTATATTCATTTACCTGTATCAATCCAGGAAAGGTATAATTACATATCATATAGAAAATGCATTGGTAATGTATTCATTCACATGTTTTTATATTACCTATATGCTTTCCATATGAAAATACCTAAGTGCTGGATGATCTTTGACTGTATCCAGTTGTCACATTGCTACACATTTATCTCCTGTAAAGAATAAATTTGTTAATATCATGGTTTGCCCTCTTGATTTTTGAATGTTCAATCCTTTTTCGAGCACTTAGTGTTGCTGACATTGCTGTGTAGCATCACTCAGAGAAGTAGAAACCATTTCAACCAAAACCTCCATTATGACTGCTGTCAGTCAGCATCTTCCAGTGAATCAGCAGTGTGGGCTTAGGCTGAACACTGCACCTCATTCCGTTTGTCCTTAGACACTTTCCCACTGTCATACTGGATACAGCAAAGATTCAGAAATTTGCAATAGTGATGCAAGATAATGCATTCCTCCTTTTAAGTTTTGCTCTCTGAATGCCAGATGGTGGGATATTTTATTTAATGCTCTGAGTCAACTCACTGACACACACCACTTTCAATTAATCCCTTTTTTCTATGATGTATAGCTGTAATTGATTACATTAATCTGTCAAGGCAGAAAGAGCAAAAGTTGAATAAATCCAGTGAGAATTTGAGGACTCTTACTATCTCACTTCTGACTTCTCCATGGGAACTTAACAATTACTGGGAATTGTAGGATGCATGACTTGCTTTATTTTAATAACTGCTTTTATCTCTTAAAATAAAAAAGCTGTAGAAACTGTCAGACTGGCCAAGTGGTCTAAGATCAGTTTTCAATATAGATGGTTTAAAAGCCAAAGCCATTTTCATTGTTGCAGTACATCACAGATTGCTCAAGAAACCTGATAGTTCTATTTCTGTTTTCCCTTCACAAAAAACCTCAAAATATATTTCCATATGAAAAATTAAAATCGCTAGCAATCCACATGAATATACACAGTACTAATTTTAATGACTTTTTAATGTAAATGGACAGTGTATCCATTGAAGAAAGCTGGTAAATATTGCTGAAATGAGACCTTAACCCAGTTATTTTTGACCGGTGTGTGAATACTGCAGACAGGGATGCTGTTATTAAATGGCATTTGCCGTAAAAAAAAGAAATACCCCATGCCCAGGAGAGTCCTGAGCACTGGCCAATGGGAAATTACTGTACATCATGTCACCAGCTCCTCAGATTTATATCTTTTAGGGTGACATGCTATTGGCTGCTAGTTAGGCTCTATGGGAGGGATTACTGGCACTATTTGTGGATCCTCTTCAGGTCCTTATTTGGTAGCTATTGATAGAGCAAGTCTTTCTAGCAGCGGAGCATCTTGACATACATTATTCATTAAGTCCTGGTATTCAGGAAATATGCATATCCCTAGCTCTTCAGATACTACTTCAGCTCTTACAATACATCTCTTCAACGTTTCCTCTGAATGCTTGGAGTTTTACAAATGGTATTTATACAGTCAGAAGACCATGCGGTTGGATTTCATTTCAGTATGCCTCCTGTGCACACAGTTGCTGAGAACCTGAAGATAAGCAAAAAGAATTAGGAGAGCAAAGGAGTCTTTCTTCTTGGAAATCGTTTGCAGTATCAGATAGCAAAGAACTGATTAGCTTAGATTAGTAGTATAGAAAAACAAATCAAAAATGCCTGAGGCAAACTATTTACTCTCAGTTTCTTGGGGCTACATAAAGGTAGGATTTTGTTTTACCTTCTAAGAACCTTGATTTGCAGTGCATGATTGCATGATCACTGGATGACATAAGTATTCGTGGCTGATATAACTGGGTAGTGGGAATATTAAGTAAAAAAAAAAAAAAAAACAGAAAAGCCACCCTTTGTTCAGCAATAAGAATGGAACTACACAGTGTACAGTGTTTCTTAGAAACTGTGCTGGGACTTATAACATAATGTTGCTTCAGTGGATAATCAGACCAAATCTAAAGCCAAAGAAATTAAGAAGGGTTTTGTGTTTTTATAAAAATATTGCTACAAAACTGTATTTCTAGACACTAAAAGATTTTAAAAGAAAACCCTAAAAACTGAGATAGCATACAACAGGAGAGTGAATGAGTAAAGAGACTAAGGATAATGGGTGAATGCATGACTCATACTGGTTTTAATATCTGAAGAAATGTGAAATTATCAACAGTATGTTCTAGCAGCATTTTTTGGTAGATTGTGTGTGACAGGTTATTGATTAAAACACTGGTAATAATTGTCATCTTCTAATATTGATCCATGTTACTATGTAGAACAGCTTTGAACTAGCTTAAAACTGCAATACTGCTAGAAAATGGAATTAAGCTTTTATCTCTTTTATGGAAAAGTTTTGCACCAAGGAATTAATCAATGTGACTATCAACATACAGAACTGAAATGCATTTAATACAAAATAATGTTCGGGCTTTGTTTTAACCCTACTTAAAATAATGCTGTTGCCTTTATAATTGTTATCAAGTGTGTAAAAAAGGAAAAAAATAAACGCCCTATGCTTGACATACTATAATTATTCCAAATCATCCTGTTTTTAAAAAAAACCCTGATTTTTCTGGAACTAAATAATGCAAGTGTTGAATTAAATGCCTGAAACTAATACAAGCATTATATTCACACATGACTGAATCTCTTATGCTTGCTTGTATTAATACCTATTTTTATCACAGTTTTGTGGGGTTTTTTTAACAGAAATAGTAACCCCTCATTAGGTCATTGAATCAGATCAGATCATTGTGATCATTCTCTGTTAATGCACAGTTGTTACAGTATATTCATAAGGATTTTGATTAGTCATCTGTGAAAAAATTACATCCCATTATGCTAGCTAGGTGGATTCTCTTCTAGTTTGCGAAAAAATGAGATTACTTTCCATTCAGCTAAAAGTGAGGCATTTATTTTAATTTACTTTGAAGTACTTCCTGCATTTCTAGGCAGCTGCTGTCATGATCCTGCTAGAAAAAGTCAATCACCTATCTTCAAAAAATGTTCACTCTTACTGTTTAGCCTTTAAAATGGATGGTTTTTGCTAACTGAAGTTCAGCAGAGAGTGTGGTAGCTGTAATCGATGACACATGGGGGAAAAAAGTCCTCTGTATAGACAGTGTCCTATACTGTCTATGGACAGTGATTTTACTGAAGAAGCTAAGTAGTACTTGAACACAATTTTAGTACAGTGCTTTTTGAGCTCACAGTATACACATTATAGGAAAAATATGAAGAGAAGCAAAGACTGCGTTTGTTATGACATTCAAAATAATGATTTAAAGTATTTATGAAATTCTACTTAGAAGAATGAAAAATTAGTTTCAGAGATCAGTATGTATGATTATGTACCTTACTATACATATATTTCTGTAATTTCTGTATGCTTCTGGCTGTACTTTAATCTGTTAATTATATTTCAGAGAATGATTGTGTGGAGTATCTACCCTGGCTTTCACTGAGTAACTTTCCTTGAAACAATAAGCAGTGCTGTTAAGTGTAGAGATACACACCTCGCTATAGCTTATGTATAAAAACCAGCACATGACCTTAATTAAACGCATAGGTTTCCAACACACATATTTAGTTATGAAGAATGCCATTTATATATAAAGAATGCTGCTAAAATTAATGGTCAATGTTAGATTAATGTTTGGACTAGATGATCTTCAAGGTCTTTTCCAACCTAGGTGATGCTGTAAAATCAAAGCTAGATTTGCTCTGATAAGCAGTATAAACAGAAACCTTATGTTAATTTGTAAGGCTGATCTATTTTAAGTTCCTTGTTTTTGCAGAATATAAAACTTTGAAAATCCAGTAAAATAACATTGCTTTTTTTCATAATTCTGAGTTACAAATGTATTTTTAAAATAACATTGTAAGTATTTCGGAACAAAACTTAGTCATGGAAGTTTAATGTTCCAAGTATTGAATGAATGTTTCATGGTTGTATTCTATTCATAAAAGCTTTTATCAATTTGATTTAGAGAAGAGGCAGCCAGAAAGGTTGAAAGTGGGATCAGTCGCCATGTGCACTTGGGAGCCAGTACAATGAAAGGCTCCGGGTGCTCTTGAGCATTTTGATTCCAGCTTCCAATTCGATTACACTCAAACTGAAGCACAGGCAGAATGGGGCCTTTTGGTGTGTTGGAAGGACCTTCTAGGCCTAGCTTCACCTTATGTGCTAGTGCCAAAGGTTGGTCAAAGAAGCCTTACCAGGACGAGGCATCTACATCAAGGGTAGTCTGCATGCTTCCTCTCCCAGCACAACTTCAGACTGCATATTTACTTGAGGTTTTTGTTACTGAGTCAGGAACTTTATGCAAAAAATGTTAAATGTTCTAAAGTGTAATCGATAAACTCCATCTATACTAAGCATGCAGCCCAAATTTTTTCATGCTATAAATTAACTCCAGTTGGATCTTTGTTATGTCTTTGAAGTTTCTTTCTAGTATACATACAAAGTCTTCGCAGAATTGTATCAGTTCTCTGACTGCCATCTGGGAACATGGTTACTGCAAAAGTTTGTCTAAATTTTTCTATGTACCTTTGCTGACATCAGAAAAGTATCGTACTTTTTCCCCTGAAACCCTGTGTAGTTTTATCCTGGATGAGAGCAGTAATATATATGCGGAGATGTGCACATACTGGGCGTGTATGGACCTAATGAGGACCTAAACTACCAAGCTCCGTCCCTCATTTGTAACCTCTTCTTGAGGTGACCACTGTTTAGGAAACTGTTCTTGTCTCATCAACATATGTACTTTTTATTTGCACGTATTACAGTTCTCCCTCTATCAGACTTCCTAGGTTTTTAAAGGCAGGTAAAAGTGCATATGTACTTCTGTCACTCTGGGAGATTTTTAATGTTACTTGAATATTGTGCCTGTGTTTGTGTTGTGCGTTCCCTTCCTTCTCACACTGTCCTCCCCATGCTGAGAGTAAAATCATTAAAATCAATAGAAACAAATGAAATGAAAAAATTCTATATAAGGAAATGTTTTTAGCATTTTTTTTAGACAATACTTTACTGTTTTGTTGCTGTGACATCAGTATTCATCAGTGAAGAACTGTATAATTGGCTTAATGGACATTTTATATCCTGTCTATTTCCAGAGGGATTTTGCTAGACTATAGTCACGGGCTGTGATATTCCAAAGGAATATAGATATATATATCTAGATATATAGATATATATGTCATTTGTTTTTCCAGTTTAACAATGCCTAGTGTTTACATGGGAAAAATCTTTCTGAGGAAGAATATAATATATGCATAGATCAGCCAAAAACCTCTTACTTCCTCCCCATTCTGAGCTGACAATACCATAATTAAAGTGTATGGTGTAAATGTTTATTAGTAACAAGAGTTTTGAGGCATTATGGTTGATTTGCTTCAACTGTGAAAGTATATGGCATTCATTTTTTTTTAAGTTCTTACAGAAAATATTTACCATTTACTATTAGTGACAAGGTGGTTTCATTTCTCATTTGACTTGGATACCACATGCTAAATCTTATTTCTGAGAGAAAAGTGATGGGAGTATGGACAGTCTAGCCAAGTTTCAAGCAGTTAAGAGGTGGCTGCTGAATGACTGAAACTGTGGACTCACAGATGTAATGGAAACTTCTCTGATTTGCAGTAAGATCTTGTGGGAGACATGTGAGAGTTAGGCAGAGTTTCATTGTAAACTAATTGTACAGGGAATTATAATTCTGTGAAAAGTTGATGCTGGTGCTCTTTGAAGCACTTGGGCCCATTTTAAATATTTGGGAAATAGGTAAAATCAGGAAAAAGTAGGGGAGGTGGTTTATTTTTGCTTGTTTTTTTAATAGAAAAAAGATTTTTTCCACAAAGGACAAGTTATTAAACATTAGAGGATTAAGTAACATACAGATATACTGAAACAGGGTGTAATCAACAAAAATGTCTGAACATCTTGATGACTGTTCATCTCAGAGTTATTTTATGTTCTCAAAAAGCATTATTGTTATGCATCAGAAATTGCTGCCTGCGTATGATCTTCAACTTCATCAGTTTCAGTGGGGATGACGGTTGTCATATAATTAAAAAAATCAAAACAGTTCTCAACTCGTGCATAGTGCAGATGTTTTCCAAATAAGTGTAAATTAAAGTCTTGTTGCTGTTGTGTCAGCAACATCTGAAAGCATATGAGATCACACTGCTAGAGTTCTTCAGAGCCAAAGGCTTCTCCTATTGACTTCATTGTTAGCAGGAGGGCCCTGCAGAATCTGAGTTGTTTTACTGTACACCTATGTTTAGCAGCAACACAGACTGTTCTGCAGGTTTCATGCTGATGGTTGAGTTTTTATGTTCCAGTGACTTACAGTGTGATGGGAGGTTGGAAGACAAGGCTTTCCATCAGCCTAGTATGGAACATAGCGTTAGGATAGAATGTCATGCACATTCCATTTGTTGTGGATGTCTGTACAATAACTATTTAGTTGGACATTCTTAGACAACATATACTCCGTAAGTTCCACAAGAGAATTCCCAGTATGTCATAACAAACCTCCCTACCTACTCCATGCAATTAAATTTATGATTGGGGGGGGGGGGGGGGAAAGTCCTTCCTATTTGTAGCTGCAGAAAAAGCATAGTGCAAACAAACACTAATTTGTTCTCCTTTCAAAGCTGGGAAACTTTTAAGGAGAGTTCCTGAAGAGTTCATACCAATAGTGGCTAAATGGTCTTCTTCCAAAGTGTGGAATGTGATCTAATAATGTTGCTCTGCAACAAAAACAGCATCACAAACATGGGCATCATCTAAAAGGGTTTACTAGGAAGCAGCCAGATACACAAGGACGTATTTAGTTGGGATCTGGTGAACTAGCTGGATTAAATTAAGGAAGAGAGAATATTGGAATGATAATGGATATACAGATGACATGCCTGGAAACTAATGTGATTTTGTGAACTTTTGACATTTTATTATGATTCCTATACATGATATTTAGTTTAATTTAAAGCTGGAGTTTCTGAATACTATCTGGAGACAAGCCATTCCATGAGATCTTCAGTTTTTGCCTTAAATAATTCAGTTTCTCACCTTTATGTGTACAGAAGAAAAAGCATGCAAGCATTACTGAAGTGTGTGTTAAAAGTTTAAGCACAGGCTTTTAAAAATACTCTTAGAATTTTTGTACCAGTCACTTTACTGCTTCCCAAGCTTGATTTTTTTTTTTTTTTAACTTTTGACAGTGGCAACAAATATCAGACCTTACTGTAGAGATTGATAGTTCATGCAAAATGTATAGTCATGTAGTTCATAATACATGTAGCTGTATTTGCAGTATGGATCTAATTTTCAGAAATGTGTTGAGCACCTGCTAGAGCACAGATATGTCTTGAGATCAAAGCTGAGCCTTTGGCTTGTGACTAAAGTAGGATTAGTCTTTGTAGCTCAGGAACTTCCTGAGCTGATGGCGTGTCAAGATGGCAGGAAAATGCAGTGGCTATTGATTAGAATGTTATATAAAAGGTAACTTTTATTTGGAACACTGAGCAATGTGGTAATTGGTGACTTACAAGAAAATAATCTCTCTTAATGTCCTTTTCCCAATTATAAATTGACTGCATTTTCTCATCCTAGCTAAAATACATCTTGATTGCTAATTTTATGCTTTTTAATTTTGTTCTGTTTTCCAGTTTAAAAGAATGCTCAACCGGGAGCTAACCCACCTGTCTGAAATGAGCAGATCAGGCAATCAGGTCTCAGAATATATATCGAACACGTTCTTAGGTAAGACTGTGGTGGGAGTTAACTTTTTTGCCTTTTGTTTTTTTTATTTCTCTGAGCTGTGATGAAGCTTAAATGCAAGTAGCTTTCTATATGCATTTCTGTTTTCAGAAACTGTACATTTAGTATCTCATTGTTCAGTGTTTGAGCAGAGAGATCATGTTAGATCTATTTCCTCACAGCTCAATTAGTCTGTTCATGTGGTTTCCCTCTATATGTAATTAGTTACGTACATATTTTCATGTATCGTTACAACTACTATATTACTACTGTATTAAGAAATGAATATATAATGAATTAATTATGTTTTATCAAGAGTTCTTCCGCTCTGTTTCCCTCATGGAAGTTAATGCAAAGTGGTTTCAGTGTACTGGAAGCACACAAGCACAAGTAATCTGATAAAATCTTGTAGCATGCAGTTCTGATGCTTTGGTATTCCCTTCCTGCATATGAGTGGATGGGTGAATGTGACCAAGTCAACATCTGAACAGACTGTTGCCAAGAGAATTTTACTTATGTGAGATACCATAGCTGGTGGTTTTTGGTTTGTGAGAGAAGAGGGGATTTTTTTAGTACATTTTATCCTGCTTGTCACCATATCCTAAATGGATCGCTTAATTTGTCTGTTCACTCATGATTGCAGTAGTGTGCCTGAGTGCTGCAGCACAGCAGGGTTTCTGACAATAAGAAAGGGATAAACATCTGTCATGGAGAAGCAATATTGCACAGCTTCAGGAGCCCTGAAAGTCACAGTGTACAGTTGCCTGAGAAGATGACCCACTTAGGCTGAAATGGCTGAGATAACCCAGTTTCTGCTTGCTTTTACTTGTAAACTTAAGGCTTATTTTAACAGAGTGAGGGAGTACATCTGTCAGTCTTTCTCATGAGACCTTGGTCTTCAGCAGAAAGAGAGCTGGAAAGGCAGTCACTTCTAAGTTACTGAGCCACAGGTACTCTTTTGCGGCTGCATGAAAAACTAGGATACTTAAAATTGTAGTTACAAGAGGAATACAACAGGGAAAACCTCATTACAGAATTATTGCTTAAATATTTTCAAATGCCATCGAAGTATATAGGTTCTGAACAATAATGTGAAGAGGGAAGACATTCTTTTCATAGAAAATTTTAATGAGTCAGGTTAATTTTTTAAGTACATAATCTATCTCCTGAACTACTACAGGCTTTCTCACATCTGAAAGTTAAGAACATGTGATGAGAAAACATGTTTTTCTGTTTTTATTATTAAAAATAAAATTAGACTGTTTTCCCAGGTAGGGCTGTACAACGTGCATAAAGTTGTTAATAATGATAAGAAATATATTCCTTGTGTAAGAATTAAGGCCCCTACACTGAGTATAATAATATGAAAGATTTTTCTTTTTCAGTGTCATTAACCTGTTTGCCCATGAATGGAAAATGTAAGGGAACCTGCTAATGAGCATAGCACAACCAGGGTCAAAATGGCAAGCTGTCTTCTAGATGTTCAGATGGGCACAGGATCCTTTGCCTTGTGTGTTCACAGTTACAAAAGCAGAGGCAGCCCCATGGAATTCCTCTGGAGATCTAAAGTCATTCAGACATACACTTCCTTTCACTTGAGTTAGTCTGACAGCTTGGCTTATGAACCTTCCTTTGATGGGTCTAAACTTTGTGCATATGACCAAAACCATAAACATCAAAGCATGAACAGGAGTCACTGCTCCTCATCTGTTGTCGGTATGCACCAATCAAGAGCTGCAGCGCTCCGCCTCCCCCCTTTCTTGATTGTCCGTATGAGGAGAGGGGTGAAGTATGGTGGGGGCAGTTGGGGAACTTGGTGCCACAGGCTAAAGCTTGGTGACATTTCCACAGTCTCTTGTTCACTGTGATTTGTTTAGAATTTGTGGTGTCCAGTGTGGCTACTAAAGGGTAATTGAAAAAAGAAATGGCAGATAGAAAGTTAAGAAGCAAACACAGTAACAATCTGGTGATTAGAAATGGACTTGCTGCTTTCACTGTCTTTCATGTAAATGACTATTGCAGGAAGGAAAAAAAGTCTTTAAAGAGCCCAAATTTTCTTTCTAAAATTTTATTTCTTTTGTTCTAAGATTTTTTAAAATCAGTTTTTGGTAGGATCCTGTGTTGGAAAAATCAGTTCTGGATTTTCCTAGTTTTGCTGGGATATTCCTTAAGAACTAGAGAAGTGGCAGCTACATTTCAGCAAAGAAGAGATAATTTGGAGGGTGTCTTTAAAATATGGTGAAATATAGTATGAACAAGAAGAACAAAAATTAATGCAAATTTATATCAGTTTTGGCAGCAGTCCTTTGTTGCACTAACTTGGGTTTCTCTGGGGACCGCAGATGTCTGCAGTGCTCCACACCCCCACACTGTTTCTGCATCAATCAGCTGGCAATTGCCTAAACATACTTTACTCTCAATTTAATCCTTGTCCAAAGTTTTGCTGGCGCATACGGTGATGAGGTGTATGAAGTGATGTCACCGAAAGTTCCTATGGAGGCAAAAGCCCACAGTAAAATGAATGGTTTGGGCAAAACAGTCCTTTTGTTGGTATTACTTACTCTGGGAGGTGCAGAAATACACTGCATGGCTGGTGTGAACTGCCTCTACATCAAAATTACGTGTAGATTGGCTGGCAAAGGCTTTGAGTTGTACAAAGTCTTAATGCAAACAGAATCAGTCTCCAAGTATTAGGTCCTTCAAGTCCTGAAAATGTTTTATAAAGGTTTACATGAGATACCATTTTGATTGTTCTTGAAACCCAATTTCAGAGTATTTCTTCCTAGAAAAGAAGAAATTTTAAATCTTCTTGCAAAATGGAAGTTTAGATTTCAGTTGTAATAACATTTTTATAATGAAAGGATTGACTGTACCTACAGTGCAAGGGATGCAGAAGTGGAAATCAGATAGTCACAAGTCACATTTAAAGCAATTTAAAGCAATTGTGAGAGGCAATTTTTGAAACTGAGATCTGCTTATACTGAGGTTTATCTTTTCATGTTTTTACTGCTCTTGATACAAAGCACCTGTTGCAAAATCTCCAAACATAAAAATAAAAAAAGTTTTGTTAAGAACTACAGTATCTGTAAGATGCAACTCAACAGTGAATTTTGTTAATATTTGAAATTCCTTTAAAAATTTTTCTCTTCTTCATCATTCTTTTGAAGACAAACAACATGAAGTTGAAATCCCTTCTCCGACGCAGAAAGAGAAGGAGAAAAAGAAGAGGCCAATGTCTCAGATCAGTGGAGTCAAAAAACTGATGCATAGCTCCAGCCTAACAAATTCCAGTATTCCCAGATTTGGAGTTAAAACAGACCAAGAAGATGTTCTTGCCAAGGTAGAGAATATATAAGTCCTTGAATTTAAAGAACTGAATTAAAATAGAGGATGGACTTGTCAGTATTATTCCATACTCTGCTTATAACCATTGATTTCAAGCTGTAGCACCAAAGCCTGGTCTCACCTGAAATAATCTAAATTTGGCCAAGTAAAAGAATAACAAGTAAAATCAGAATCAGTCCATAAGGGTTAATTTCTGTGTGAAAAGGATTTCATCTAGAGATGGAATGTAAATCAGCATTTGTGTGTGCATTAACATAACTGTTTATTCATAAATAATATCTGAAGAATGTAGAGTAAATATACCATAGGGGAATGAAAATATATGGCAGCCCTAGGTGTTTTGAAAATGCACAACTGGTATTATCTTATTAGAGCTATCTTTCCAGGTCTGTCTGTAGCTGTATCATTTCATATACATGATTTGTGGTTTTGTTTTTAGTGACTTTTCCTATGATTTTTGCAGCAATAACCTAAAACTAGCTGTTTTGGAGGCTCTCAAAATAAACCACCAACCACCAAAAATTAACTAGCCCCCCACAAATTACAGATTCGAATCTGTGTGAGAACAGAACAACTTCCTAGGGTTTAAGGACAACCCAAAACATTCTTATCACTCACTTAACAAGTGAGGACTCTCAACCTCAAGGACCTTCTCAGGGCAGCGTCCTGACCCAAGTTACCTCAAGGAGTTTCCTTGGGCAGTGTCCTGACCCAAGGGGAGAGTCCTTGACCACAATGTGTTGTTCCAGGTGAAGAGCTTGAAATGGCTCCCACAGGGGGCTGCATTTATACGCAGCCAAATCTGATCTGTAGTCAGTAGTGGTTCTCATTGGCCAAAGACCCCAGCTACTGTGAAGCCCCGAGAACAAAGGTAGTCAGGAGCTGCTACACTTCAGCAGCCCTGTTTTCACTGGGCGGGTGCACCTGCCACACATTCCACCCTGTGACCACAGTCATGATTCAGCTGTTTTCCTTGAGGTGGTGGTGCAGTCACCTCTTGCCTCCAAGGTTAAAAGGGAACGTGGTCCTCGTGAGTCTCCATACTCGTTGTGGGTTGTTATTCTTAGATGATTATACAATCAAATCTTAAAAAAAAACCCCAACCATACAATGTAGTGCAATCAAAATTGAAGGAAGCTGATCAACCATTTTAACAAGGAAGATTTGAACATATCCAATTAACCAATTAATGCTTAATATAGCAACAGTAGCCTCAAGTCTCTTGCCACTTTCTTCATTTGTTGACCTAAAGTGGCATTAACACAATAGCACTAAGTTCAATCATCTGAATGCTGCCAATTTTACAAGATTCATTTGCCACCATGTTGTTGTCCAAGTCTTGATGGTCCATATGGATCACCATTGCCAATCAGGATGTCGAAGTCATCTGTTTCTTCAAGATCCTAACAAAAAAACAGAACTAGGCCTTGGATCAGAACCTGGGCATCAGGTTAAAAATTATTTTTTTCTACCATTATCAAAGGCCACCCAAGCATGTGGACAGTGCCCATTAGCCTGAGGATAGTATGGGGTGCGCAAACCCACTGTATTCCTTGTGTGCCTGCTCCTGGATCACCCCGTCAATAAAGTGGCTCCTTTGGGTGTTTCCTTCTCTATCTGCCATAGCAATAATTATCTAATTGCACATAGCATTTCCTTACAGCTTCTCACTGTGTGACTCCTAGAGGAGTCTCGCTGTGTGATTCCAGAGATCTTAACCCCTTCTCTGGGAGTAGTTTTAGTGAGCTTTTGAGCCAGTGCATAGCAACCAATTGTCGGTGAGTGCCTATATCCCTGGGGAAGACATGCAAATGTAAATTGCATGCCTTTCCACGTGGGAGCAAAGCCAAGCGATCTCTGTTTACTTCCTGCAATGGAACCACAAAGAGCCTGTCCCAGAGCTGGCAGGGTGCTCCTGCAGGGTTGTACCCAACCCAGCTGCTCCAGGCCCAGCAGCTGACAAAGGATATGTATGGGCACTCAGTCACCGATAATCTACTGTTAATCGCCACCCTTTGGTTGGTTTGCACCTGTATGATTTATAATATTTTTTCGAGATCATTAATCACCCCAAAAATACCATATGACCGCAGTAGGTACTGGATATTGAGGGACACACATAGCTTCTGTCCCCTAAACTCCACACTCTGCCATCTGGTAAATACCATTGTTTACCTGCCAAAACGTCAAACCCTAATATTTTTCCTTTGTTCTTGAGTGCTCCCCTCCAGCAATTGCACCAACTTCAAGATGTGACCAGTAGATTGCCCATGTGATATTGCCCGCAGTACCCCCATGCCAACACCTTCCACCAAAGATGATTCCGTCCTGAATCATACAATCGACCTGTCATCCGGGGGCAGTTTAAACTCTCTACAAGGAGGCTGCCTGGAGTGGGGAGTTTCTGACTGACTGGCCGAACCCTCCAGCTTCCATCTTCACCCTGACCCAGTCAGTCTAGCCCATTTTTCACCCATCAGCAACCAGATCCTGTAACGCTTCTGCCTACATTAATACATGCACGCAAGGGGCAGGGGGGTGCATGTTTGCTGGTTGCATTCAATAGCTCGATGCACCCTCTCTCTGAGGGACTGGATGTGTGCTTTAAGGCATCAGGGATCCCTCTAGTAAGAAATCTAGGTGGCTGGGATCCACCAGTGCAACGAGCGCTATTCCACACCGCCCGCTCTCATCCATCACCAGAATGCAAGCTGCCTTCAGTACTCCCTCCACCAGCTCCAACAGTCTCTTCACCTTAATGGTAAGAGGTTCCCCCTTCTCCTTGGGGTCCACACCCTGTCCTGGTTCAACTAGCATAGGGTTAAGTTTCCCCAGCAGAGAGAGAGGGGGAAGGGATCTCCAGCCGGGTTATTCATACCATGCTGATGTCAGGTCCGGGGGCAGGAAACTTTGATTTTACTTTCTCTTTGGCTTTTTGGTGGCGGGGAGCTGCTCCGTGACCATTTAGTGGTATTTCTCTGTACATCGTTTGTCTTGTTCACACTTATTACTATTTATTGTTGTTATCATTGCCACTGTTGTTGTTCAGATTGTATTATCACACTGTTGTATTAAATTACTTCTTATTTTAACCCAGGTTTGTGCCTCACTGCCAGCCTGACTGGCTGAGAGTGGGGGAGGGACAACAGCAAGGTGCTCTCCGGTCCTGAAGGGGCTTAAACCACAACAGCCTTAAATGGCACAACAACGAGGGGCTGAAATAAGAATAAAAAGGGACAGACCCTGACCAGAGTGTGATAGAGCAATCTGTTGGGTGTAATTTTTATGTTTGTATTTGTATTTGTTTGATAAGAAAATGTTTGCAATGCCGGCCCACTTGTTTGCAGGGTGCGGCTGGATTACTCCTTATATCCAGTGTATGATCCATGTGGTGGAGTTTGTTATTGGTGGAAAATGTATAAAGGGTCTTATGTTGTTATATGGGCTATTGAATGCTTATGCTGCCTTTGTATCGCTGTGTGTGGGTGGGCCGGTACCTGTTTGCCGTTTGGGCTTTTGTTAGGGGTCTCACCCCCTCTGTGGGTGAGCCAGAGGAAGAGATCTTCTCGGCTTTGGGAGAGTTTCAATTATTCTTGGAGCCTGCAGGCCAGTGTGATTGTGGCACTATGCCTTCTGAATGCCTGCCTGATTTCGGTTTGGCCATATGGTATTTCTCGAACAACAGCAGTGCCCAGAAACCTGCCCCGAGGTCAGATAATAGTGAGTGGCAAGGGGTGTGGGAAAAGATGGGCAAAGGCCTGAGTCGGTGGGCACCCCCAATGCTTTGGAATTTCACTCCTGAGCAAATGCAGAGCCCTGAGAAGCTGATGGAGTGCTTAGAAAGGGTGTGTTACCAAGCTGGCAAAACCCAGGAGAAACAAATCGCTGCAATGTGTTGGGGACTTGCCCATGCGTACCGTGTCCTCTTTAATACCACCCTCTGCCCTCAAGGGGGAGAAAAGGCCACACAAACAATATCTTAAACGGGAGGACAGGCAGACTCAACCAGCACAGCGACTGAGCCAGAGAGCCAGGCAGTGCCAGTGTCAGTCGCCCCGATACAGAAAACAAAATATACCAGAAAGTCAGTTCGCAGAGTGAGGGATGCGGATGAGCCAGGCCCAGCACGGGAACAGGAGGAAGGACCAGAGGTGATTGTACAATCTCTATCCCCGACTGAGCTGTGAGATATGTGGAGAGATTTCGGCCGCCTGGAAGGCGAGCAGATTTGCACCTGGCTGCTCCGATGCTGGGAAATGGAACCAGTGCTTTTGAGATGGAGGGGAGAGAGGCCAAGTAGCTGGGATCTTTAGCCAAGGATGCTGGCACTGACAGGGAGATAGGGAAACAGGCTCAAACCCTCAGCCTTTGGAAGGGACTCCTGTTCAGTGTAAGGGAGAGGCACCCCTACAAGGATGATATCCTATGTCAGCAAGGCAAATGGACCACCATTGAGAAAGGCATCCAGAACCTCAGGGAACTGGCTGTGTTTGAGATGATCTATGGTGATCTGAATGATAAGCAATCACCTATGGACCCAGATCAGGCCCCTTGCACACACCTGATGTGGCAAAAGTTCCTGAAGAGCGCACCAGAAGCACACTCGAAAGCATTGGCAATAGTGTCCTGGTGGACAGACACCCACACTAACAGTGGATGGAGTGGTTGGCAAGCTCCGGCAATATGAGGGAAATCTCCCTTCATCTCAGCATTCCCGGGTCTCAGCTGTGGAGGAACTGTCTCAAGAGGGTCCAGAAAATGGAAGAGGACATGTCCTACATTCCACCTGCACGGGATGATGTCTCAGCCATTAGAAGTAAACGTTTCCCCACCCAAGAGAAAGGCAGCAGAAGGTACACACCACGAGGCACCCTGTGGTTTTTCCTCCACGACCATGGAGAAAACATGAGGAGGTGGGATGGACAGCCCACTGCTGACCTAGCTGCACAAGTAGAGCAGCTGAAAGGGAAGACCATCGCGAAAGGGGAGTCCTCCAAGAAGAGCGCAGCTCCAGTGACCAGTTAGAAATCCCCCAGGCAGAATAGAATGGTGAACGTTATGTCTGACCCTCTTGAGGGGATCAGTAAATCATTCTTGCAAGAAGTGAGTGATGATGAGCAGGATTAGAGGGGCCCTGCCTCCAGCCAGGTAGAGGAAAGGGATAATCGGATTTACTGGACAGTGTGGATCCGATGGCCTGGCACGTCAGACCCACAAGAGTATAAGGCTTTGGTAGACACTGGCTCACAGTGCACCCTGATGCCATCGAACTACAGTGCGGTTGAATCCATCTGCATCTCCGGAGTGATAAGGGGATCCCAACAGCTGACCCTACTGGAAGCTGAAGGGAGCCTGACTGGGAAGGACTGGCATAAGCACCCCATTGTGACTGGCCCAGATGCCCCATGCACCCTGGGCATAGACTATCTCAGGAGAGGGTACTTCAAAGACCCAGAAGGGTACTGGTGGGCTTTTGGTGTAGCTGCCCTGGAGGGGGTTGAACAGTTGTCCACCTTACCCGGCCTCTCAGAGGATCCCTCAGTGGTGGGGTGGCTTAAGGTTGAGGAGCAGCGAGTGCCGATTGCTACCAGGACGGTGCAGCGCCGGCAGTACCGCACTAACCGGGATTCCCTGGTCCCCATCCATCAGCTGATCCATCAACTAGAGAGCCAGAAGGTGATCAGCAAAACTCACTCACCCTTCAACAGTCCTATATGGCCAGTGAGAAAGCCTAATGGCGAATGGAGGCTAACTGTGGACTACAGTGGCTGAATGAATTTACGCCAGCAATGAGTGCTGCAGTGCCGGACATGCTAGAGCTCCAGTATGTACTGGAGTCGAAGCCAGCCAAGTGGTATGCAACGATTGACATTGCTTACGCGTTCTTCTCCATTCTGATAGCGCCAGAGTGCAGGCCACAGTTTGCGTTCACTTGGAGAGGCATCCAATACACCTGGAATCGATTGCCCCAGGGGTGGAACCACAGCTCCACCATTTGCCATGGACTGGTCCATACTGCACTGGAGAAAGGTGGGGCTCCAGAACACCTGCAGTACATTGATGACATCATTGTATGGGGGGACACAGCCTAGGAAGTCTTTGAGAAAGGGAAGAAGATGATTGAAATACTCCTGAAGGCTGGCTTTGCCATTAAGCAAAAGAAAGTTAAGGGGCCTGCAAGGGAAATTCAATTCCTAGGAATAAAATGGCAAGATGGGCGTCGCCACATCCCAGTGGATGTGATAAAGAAGATAACAGCCATGGCCCCACCAACCTCTAAAAAGGAGACTCAGTCTTTCCTGGGCGCTGTGGGGTTTTGGAGGATGCACATCCTGAACTACAGCCTGATTGTGAGCCCTCTCTACCATGTAACCCGTAAGAAGAACAATTTTGAATGGGGCCCTGACCAACAACAATCCTTTGAACAGATTAAACGAGAGATTGCCCAAGCAGTAGCCATCGGGCCAGTCCGGGAAGGGCAGGAGGTTAAGAACATGCTCTGCACCGCAGCCGGGGAGAATGCCTCTACCTGGAGCCTCTGGCAGAGAGCACCTGGGGAAACCCGAGGCTGACCTCTAGGCTTTTGGAGCCGGGGATACAAAGGCTCTGAAGCTAATTACACACCAACTGAGAAGGAGATACTGGCAGCGTACGAAGGAGTTCGGGCTGCCTCAGGAGTGGTCGGCACTGAAACACAGCTCCTCCTGGCATCCCGACTGCCGGTGCTGGGGTGGATATTCAAAGGAAAGGCTTCCTCCACACATCATGCAACCGATGCCACGTGGAGTAAATGGGTTGTGTTGATAACACAACGGGCTCCAATAGGGAACCCCAGCCGCCCAGGGATACTAGAGGTGATTACGAACTGGCCAGAGAGCAAAGATTCCGGGATGTCACCAGAACAGGAGGTGACACATGCTAAGGAGGCCCCACCATATAACGAGCTGCTGGATGAGGAGAAGCGATTTGCCCTGTTCACTGATGGGTCTTGTCGTATTGTGGGAAAACATCGACGGTGGAAGGCTGCTGTGTGGAGTCCCACACGACGGGTCACTGCAGCTGCTGAGGGACAGGGTGAATCGAGCCAGTTTGCCAAGGTGAAAGCTGTCCAGCTTGCTTTGGATATTGCTGAGCGGGAAAAGTGGCCAAGACTCTACCTCTACACCGACTCGTGGGCAGTGGCGAATACCCTGTGGAAATGGTTGCCGCAATGGAAGCAGAACAACTGGCAACGTAAGGGTAAAACCGTCCGGGCTGCTGATGTATGGCAGGACATTGCAGCCCGTGTGGAAAACCTCGTTGTGAAGGTGCGCCATGTGGATGCCCATGTACCCAAGAGTCGGGCCACTGATGAACATTGACACAACCAGCAGGCAGACCAAGCTGCTCAGATCAGAGTGGCTCAGGTGGACTTGGACTGGCAGCGCAAAGGAGAACTGTTCATAGCCTGGTGGGCCCATGAGACCTCGGGCCACCAAGGTAGGGATGCAACATACAGGTGGGATTGAGATCGAGGGATAGACCTCACTATTGACACCATTGCAGAGATCATCCACGGATGTGAGACATGTGCTACAATCAAACATGCCAAGCGGGTGAAGCCCCAGTGAAATGGAGAGCGATTTCTGAAATATAGATTTGGAGAGGCCTGGCAGATCGACTACATCACACTGCCACAGACCCGCCACAGGAAGCGCCACGTGCTCACAATGGTGGAAGTAACCACTGGGTGGCTGGAAGCTTACCCAGTGCCCCACGCCACCGCCCGGAACACCATCCTGGGCCTTGAAACCCAAGTCCTGTGGCGACACGGCACCCCAGAGAGAACTGAGTCAGACAACGGGACACACTTCCGAAACAACCTCATAAATGCCTGGGCAGAAGAACACGGCATCGAGTGGGTCTACCATATCCCCTACCACGCACCAACCTCTGGGAAGTTCGAGCGCTACAATGGACTGTTAAAAGCCACATTGAAAGCACTGGGAGGTGGCACCTTCAAAGACTGGGACATATATCTGGCAAAGGCCACCTGGCTAGTCAACACAAGAGGATCTGTCAGTCGAGCTGGCCCGGCTCAGTCGAAACCTCCACGTGCTGTAGATGGAGATAAAGTCCCTGTGGTGCGCATGAGGAATATATTGGGAAAAATGGTCTGGTTTAGTCCTGCACCAGGCAAACGTAAAGGCAAACCCATCCACGGGATTGCTTTTGCCCAAGGACCTGGGTGCACCTGGTGGGTGATGCAGGACAATGGAGAGGTCCGATGCGTACCACAGGGGGACTTGATTCTGGGTGAGAACATGCCGTAAATCATGCTGTGCCTGTGTAAATTATTGTTTTATTATTGTTAACTGCTAAATGGCAGCTGGACATGACGCAGATGGTATAGAATAATGGGGTGGATTATGTCCTGGTTCAGCTAGGAAAGGGTTAATTTTCCCCAGCAGAGAGAGAGGGGGAAGGGATCTCCAGCCGGGTTTTTCATACCATGCTGATGTCAGGTCCAGGGGTGGGAAACTTTGATTTTACTTTGGCTTTGGCTTTTTGGTGGCGGGACGCCACACGTCAGCTTTGTTCCCTGACCATTTGCGGTATTTCTCTGTATATCGTTTGTCTTGTTCACTGTTATTGCTGTTTATTGTTGTTATCATTGCCACTGTTGTTGTTCAGATTGTTTTATCACACTGTTGTATTAAATTTCACCTTATTTTAACCCGGGTTTGTGCCTCACTGCCAGCCTGACCGGCTGAGGGTCGGGGAGGGGCAACAACAGTGTCCTCTCTGGTCCCCGCAGGGGTTAAACCACAACAACCCCCAGCCCAGTAGGCTACTTTTTGACTTGTTACCTGCTGGTCCATCACACAGAAACCTCCCATCTCATTATCATTCAAGAGTTAACACCCGCAACCCCCACCCCCCTGTTAAAGAAACCCTCTACAAATACTCAGTTTTAGTTTCATCAGAATTATGTGAAGCTCACTAAGCTCAGGTCCTGTTCAGGAGCTTGTACGGACAGCAGTTTGGGGGTTCCCACCTTCTGGACCTATATACCTTTCTGTTTTAATGAGAGCTTGCACATTTCTCTCCTCCAACCTACTTCCGTTATACGCTCCCGAAATATCTCCATCCCACTCCTCAATATCTACACTCATGATTAACTTTCAAATCTGAACAGTAGAAAGCTTTTTTGCTTGTGCCAATTTTTTTTCTAATAACTGTCTTCTCTCTCACAACAATTCTGTCTTGAAGAAGTCAATTTCCAATTGCTCCTTTAAATTTTCTCCACTACTACAAAATAATCCTGCAAAATGCTGTAGCATTTTTCCCTCTAGAGCTTAAGAGTCACTCTTTCCTGCTTAGTGAATTAAAATCTGAAAAGTTGGTAGCTGCAAATTCAAATACTGCAAGATCAGTAGCAGCAGCTTTCCTCCTTCCAGAGTTTAGCATGTAACTTTCACAGTGGCAAGGTTTGAATCTTCATGAATCTGTTGTCTGTAGCTGCTTCAATCAAAAATCACTGAAATTTGTGTGTTAGATTTCAATGTCTTTGTTGCTTGATTATGCTCTAGGAACTAGAAGATGTGAACAAATGGGGCCTTCAGGTTTTCCGAGTAGCAGAGTTATCTGGAAACAGACCTTTGACAGTCATCATGCACACCATTTTTCAGGCAAGTAGCAGCAGCTGTGCTGATCATAGCTTATCTTAGATTTATTTTTTTTTCTGTACCTTGTACTCTTAATTGTTTCTCTTCTCCTTGTCTAGGAACGGGACTTGTTAAAAACATTTAAGATTCCAGTAGATACTTTAATAACTTACTTGATGACCCTAGAAGACCATTACCATACAGATGTGGCGTATCACAATAACATACATGCTGCAGATGTTGTTCAGTCAACCCATGTCCTGCTGTCAACCCCGGCATTAGAGGTAAACTACCCTGAGTTGGAAAAGAGGCAGGCATGAGAGAAAGGGACATACTAAGACTGTTCTAAACTAACTATTAAAGATCTTAGTTTCTGCAGTATTTTTAAAATACTTTTTAATTAATTATTTTTGTAATTAATTTTTTAATAATTTCTTGTATGAATTCTGCTCTTTTAAAGATACTTTGTGAGGATCAAAGCTTCTTTATATGTAAATATGTGCAGAGAATGTCACATCTTTTTCTGTTAAATCATGCAGATTTGTGCTCTTGTAACCTTTTCCATTGTAACATAATGCATAACTTGTTTCCACCATCTCATTACTAATACTGCATCCTATTCTGTCATAATTTCCTATGTGGGATTCTCACTAACCACAATTAGTGTAATTGATTAGGAAAGATAGTGATAAAATGGGATTTCCTCAATAGAGCCTTTTGAAGGTTTTTTTTCCTTGTTTTTTCCTATTTATTCTGATCCTGAAAGGCTTTGTGTTTGTTTCTCAGGCAGAGTGAAACATGTACTAAATTTTCAGTGGACTATCTCAATTTTTTATAAATATTTCAAAATTCTTCAGGAAAAGTGACATTTCATATGTTCTTTTCTGAAGAATTTTCTTACCACAAGTGCTTCTCTGAAGTAGAAGGAAGAAAGATGTAGATTACTTTCCTTTTTTTTTTTTTTTTAAGCACAATGCGGGCCTTAGTATAGCAAACATTGATATATCCCAGTATTGTTGGATATATAAGGCAGATAAAGCAAGCAGTTGAAATTTTAGTAGTTCAAAAGGATTTTCCCTCATTTTAAAGGAGGGATGCATTTTGACTTTTTCATAATGACCGATCTTTTAAGTTACTGAATGCTTCTGCTTTACCTTCTTAAAAAGGTAAGTGGACCTTAAGACTGATGGAAGGTCTAAATCCTCAAAGGCTCAGAAATTCTTATGAAAAAGATTCCTTTATCTCAAGAAGAAAGATCAGATTATGTTCTTAAATCATAACTGGCTGCACCAAACAGATGAACTGGTCATCAGTAGCATTTGTGGTTGCTTCCCAGATCAACTGTTTTTCATGGCCTTGCTCTTAGAAGAGCTTGAGCTAGTAAAATAGCAATGTCTGCCCAGTGCCACTGCTGACCTACATACCTCTGAGCTGTTCTTGATCAATTATGAAAGCAATTATGTCATGAGGGTGATTGTGACAACAAGAGACTAGGGTCAGTGACATGCCAAATCCATTGCAGACTTCTCTTCCCATATTCCTAGTAATCTCATGCAGAAGAAAAAACAGTAAATCTTAAAATGCGTTGTAGTCTGTGGCAATTTCCTTTAGCATCGTTTAGGAGATGTGTGTCTTTCAAGTGTAGCACAATACATAGGAGTCAGGCTGAAATTTTTAACTTGAATTTGTGCTACGGTTTAGAAACCTGTACTTGATGATGTGATAAAAATGATGTATTTACAGACTGAAGCTGAGAAAACTTCAGTTGTTATGGAATTTAGCAATGCTGTCAGTGTGAAGTAAGGATTGTTTTACTTTGGTTAGACTTGAAATATTTATGAAATTTTACATAATTGAAGATTTTATAAAAGGTCGTCATAGCCTATGTGTAAAATCTCTTGAGATCCCTGATACATTTCAAATATGTTTTGCTTGTTCAGGTCTAGATTGAAAGTAGAGTCCTTTTTGTTGAAAACAGGTTTTCATTGATTAGTGATTGTCATTTCTGTTTCATGATTTTTCTAGGCAGTGTTCACTGATTTAGAGATCCTTGCAGCAATTTTTGCCAGTGCAATACATGATGTAGATCATCCTGGGGTTTCAAACCAGTTTCTTATCAACACAAGTAAGTTTGTTCAGTGGTTTTCTCAAAAATTTCCTGCAAGGTTTGCACATAGCACCTAAAAAATGCACAGTTCATTCCTTGTTTGCTTCTTTCTGTAACTTTTCTCAGTAAATAGATAGGTCTTTATATTTTAAACTGGATATTATTTTGCATTTTTTGAACTTTAGGAATGTTTTACATAGTAACCTCTAGCAAGGATTGCTAAGACATGAACTATAAACCTGGCACTGTTTCAGTGTATTGGATGTGGCTTCTTGCACCAATATAACCTGCTTTAATTTCAGTGGCATATGTTGCTATTATAAATGGGTGGCGCATTGTACATCAGTACAAGTTCTTTCATATGATATTATGTCTTTTGACATCTGACAACTTCTCCTTTTACAGTATCTGACCCAGAAGTACAAAAGTTGAAATAATGCTAATAATCCAAGCAAGAAAAAGCTACAGAAATAGAAACATATCTAGGGTTGTGTATTTGACCCTTTTGGTTGCACATTTATAGATACTCTCATTCCTGCACTTTGGATCTATTGCACTGGTGCTAAAATTTCATGACCCCAAATCAGCAGTATGGTTTGAAGAAGGCAGCTCCTTTTCTGACTCATTGCTGTTGTATGTTCAGATAAGACCTCTACTCCAGTTTGACATGCCTCTAATTTTGCCTTAATGGCCTGAGGGCCACCCTGTAGTGAAATTCAATTTGATGACTCAGTCTGCATGGGATTGACTCCAGTTTTTTGGTACTTTATTGGTAACTAGTACAGTTCAGCAGTGTGGTATAAGACAGTGAATGAAGCTTTGTGCACAAAATGGTGTGTAGTACCTAAATTCTTAAAGAGTGGACATATGTAAGTAAAGTTTTTATTTGTGTGTTTAATCAGAAATTGAGTATCAGGGTATATGGGTGACTGAGGTGCTAGGGGAAACCACCAGTTTGTTCAGGTTTAAGCAGGGTGACTGGCTAGTTGAAGGGACCAGTAGTGATACATAAAGCATTCACTTTTAGGCATACAGTTGAAATTGAGCTAAGCTAGGAGTAATTCTGATGCTGTTTATTTAATGATTTAGAGGAAATGTCTTGTTTTTCTCAATTCACCTTCTGATAGAGGGCTTCCATGTCAAACAAGTAACATCACTAGCTGGAACTGCTGTTGCCAGGTTGAAAGAGACAAAGGGATTTTATCCCTTTTGCATTGTTCTGTGTACAAGGAATAAACTTTAGGGACAGACAGAGATAAAGACCATCTAATTTAGGTCTCTCAAATCCTAAATTTTCCTAACCTCTAGAAGATCATTTCCTTGTACCTGGTTTTGTTTTCCAGTGAACCTTACAATGTATTAACATTTCACTAAGTATAAGCTTGTATTTTTAAAAGGCAGAGTTAGAGTTACTTAAAGTAGGTACATATTTGCCATATTTCAGCTTATTCTTTATAATTACTCAGATGTGATATTTCTGAATATTATTTGACTATTTAAGGATTTAGTCTTTTACAGAGTTGTCAAAAATCTAATCTGTCTTGAATGTAATTAAATAACAAATATGGATTGTATTACCATCAGAGGAGATGCTTATTTGGTCACTGTAACTCTGACCTTTCAAACAAATACACTTGAAACTTACAGTGTGTTAGAGATAAGGGAACTTTCTTCCATTTCCACCTCCATTACAAAGTTGAGCACATTTTAGCTCTGTCTGTAGCTCCAGCCTTCCAAAGTATTTTGGCAATCTTGAGTGTTTTGCAGATAAGGCTCATCAGAATGCTATTTGAAAGGAAAATAAACTAGTGCCTGTCTTCTTTGAAAGAAAAATAACAAGTAGGCAAGCTTTGTAAATGTTCTGTGAAAGATGAAAGAGAGATCATTTGACAAACTTGCTTTCTTTTTCCTTTTGCTGTTATGGTTTTGCTGCCATTGGGATAAGGAAAGGTAGAGGAAGGGTTTTTTGATTCAAAAAATAGATGCATTCAAGATAGGAGAGGAAGACAGCAGGAGAAAAGATAATGAGACTAATGAAATCTGAAGAGCAGAGCTTTTATAGGCACCCCATTGAGCCAGAGGGATTTTAAAAACAAAACTGCTGTAAAAGAAGATAAAGACGACAAAGAGTAGAATATAGACTGTGACATATGGTTAGATTTAGGATAGAACAGCTGTAATAAATAGAAGTTAATATTACACATGACAAGTGTGATTGCATAAAAAGTGTTTTTTTATGACAGGTTCATTTGCAAGCTGTGTGTTAAAACATACACAAGCAGACTGTGTGGTATTTCTGGGTAGAAGCTAAAGCTGTGCAGAAAATTGTCGCAACTTCTTTCATTTGCCAGAGATGACTGTTTAGCTGATTTAATCAGACAAATGCAGACCTTGCATGTGTGCCTTAGCATAGCATTGCTGGGAAGGTGTATGTTACTCTCTCAGCCATATGGAGTGACTAAGTTAAGAATACTTCTGTTGGAGAAGTCAGCATTACAGCATCAGGCATTGACCATGCTCAAGTACAAGGCAGTAGGCAAGGCCACTGCTTGTATTTTCAAGGCACTATAATCTTCCAAGGAAATGAGCAGAAGTGTAACTGTTACCATCCTGCCAGCCTCCTCAGATATCTAATTGTCATCAGTGACCTGTAGGCCTAATTGGCAAGGCATCTAACTGCAGAAGGACATAGTTTAAAAACAAAGATGTGCGCTCTCTGCCTGACCTTCAGCAAAGCATCAGCTGTGTATTCCCAGGTCTGAGTGCTGGATAGCTGCAACTTGACTTAAGCAATGGAGTTTTAGTAGTTGTGTTGGAGGGAGGTATGAAATCAGAGTGTGTTTATGCATATAATATTTTCCATGTGACCTCATGCAGATATGAAAATGTGTTCTGAAAAATACCTTCCTTGTATTTTCTGTAACTTGGTACTCCAGGCACATGTACATGCTTCACTGCAAAGTATTTTCTTTGGTTCCCTCAACATACTTTGCCTTGATTTGTTAAGATATTCAGTCATTAGTTCTGCAACTTTTGATACTGTGTGAACTACAGGAACTATGTTTCTAAAAGTTCATCTGAAAATCTTGTTATGAATGTAATGAGTTTGAAAAATCTCAGGGGATTTGGTAGAAGCACAGACTTCAGTAACATTCTGCCCTGCAATTGTTGTTGCAGATTCTGAACTCGCCTTGATGTACAATGACTCATCAGTACTGGAGAATCATCACTTAGCAGTGGGCTTCAAGCTGCTGCAGGAAGAAAATTGTGACATTTTCCAGAATTTGACCAAAAAACAGAGGCAATCATTGAGGAAAATGGTCATTGACATTGTGAGTTCTGCTTGAGTCTACCACTTCTATAGTGCTAGCAAATTGAATAATAAAGCACAGAAACATTTTGTGATAAATTACATGTCATTAGACCCATAACCAATGAAGTAAAAGTTTGAAGTTTTGTTGTGTCTTGTCCAAACATGAATAGTGGGTTCTTTTCAGTTCGATAACCATCTGTACCTTTTTAGAAGGTACACAATCCTGCTTCAAGTTGTTTTCATACTGATGTGTATGCCTTTTCACCATCACAGAAATTTGCTACTGGATTGATGATGGATTAACTCTGATCAGATCATTTTGTCATATTCTTAAAATAAGCAAAATGAACACTTACTAGTTTGGACACCAACGACATACAGGACTTGGACTTTTATACTGAACTCCTGTTCAGATACAGGAGTTAGGGGTTCCCCCAAAACTGCTTATTTATGTGTTCAAAGATTATTTTAAAAAATCTGTGGAATAATTTACATAATATTCATTTATTTGTTTGTTTCTCTCAAGGTACTTGCAACAGACATGTCTAAGCACATGAATCTATTGGCTGATTTAAAAACTATGGTTGAAACCAAAAAAGTGACCAGTTCTGGTGTCCTCCTTCTTGATAACTATTCAGACAGGATTCAGGTAAGAAAATTCATCTACAAATAGTCACTTGTATTAATTTACATCCTTAATAACATTCGCCTGCCCATTCTCCAGCATGTTTTAGATCTCACACCATGACTCACTACCTTCCCTCTGTGCCCTCTTACGCTTCCTACCTGCGACATACTCTGTTAGATACTGAGTGACTCTCAAGAGAGAGTAATGAAGTGATAGAGTACTTCAGGACTAAATGAGGCTTTGGCCTTTCCTTTAACTTATCAGCACCTGATTGGGCTGTCTTTCAAAGATTTTCTGTCCCTTATACAGGCAGAAGCAGCAGAAGCGAGGTAGTTCATGGCTATTACTGCAAGTGTGAAAAACACCCAAGCACTTAAGTTTCTTGCTGTTTAGAGTAAATCTTGCACTACGTGTCTTTTCAAGATTCTGTTTCACAGCCCCAAAAGTGTAAATGGAAAAGGAGCTGTTTTTCTCCAGTGTAATAACGCCACAGGTCTTCAATCTATTTTAGGTTCTTCAGAATATGGTGCACTGTGCAGATCTAAGCAATCCAACCAAGCCACTCCATCTTTACCGCCAATGGACAGACAGAATCATGGAGGAATTTTTCCGTCAGGGAGATCGGGAAAGAGAGAGGGGAATGGAGATCAGTCCCATGTGTGATAAGCACAATGCATCTGTAGAAAAATCACAGGTAATTGATCTGAGTGGGTAGTTTGACATTTTAACAGAAAAAGGTGTTCAATAGCCATGTTTTGATTAATTTCTGAATGCACTGCTTCCTTTTTTTCCTCCTAGATAGTTAATTCAGCTCCTGGGAAGTAAGTGAGGGGTACTAAGATTTTTACTGTGAAAACACAGTACATGGCATTGTATTTGCTGAAGGGATTCCATCACTGTAGTGACCTGCAACGTAGGATACATGTCAAAAGAGAGTATTTTACAGCTGCTCATTAGGGTTTCCTTCAAAAGCAGAATTAAATATAAAGCAGCTGTTTGGCTCACTAGATGCAGTGGAGTTGTTTGGAATGAGCAGTTCATTTGAAAACAAATCCTTTCCAAGACTTTATCCAATATCTGGAATCAGACTTTTGAAATGTAAGAGACAATTTACTACATAAAAGAGCATGGTTTCCTTTCAGCCACCTTTCAGAGTAGTGCATCTATTGTCTCTTACTAGCGTTATATTTCTTATACATTGTGTGACTTACAGGCATAGTTGTTTTTTTCTTTGTGAATAAGAGCTCATCTTAATTTTGTATTATTTGAAACAGGTGGGTTTTATAGACTACATTGTTCATCCTCTGTGGGAGACATGGGCAGATCTTGTTCACCCGGATGCCCAGGATATCTTAGATACACTGGAGGACAATCGAGAGTGGTACCAGAGCACAATCCCTCAAAGTCCCTCTCCTGCACCTGATGACCAGGAAGAGGGTAGGCAGGGCCAAACTGAAAAATTCCAGTTTGAACTAACACTGGAGGAAGACGGTGAGTCAGACACCGAAAAGGACAGTGGAAGTCAAGTAGAAGAAGACACCAGCTGCAGTGACTCCAAGACACTTTGCACCCAGGATTCAGAATCCACTGAAATTCCTCTTGATGAGCAAGTAGGGGAAGAAGTAGAAGAGGAGGAGAACCAGACAGAACCTTGTGTGGTGGAAGAACATTCTCCTGACACATAACAATGAAGACGCAGTCTCTTTCGTTCTTGCCCTCTTTATTTCTTTTCCTCTTTCTGTTTTTTCTGTGGGTTTGGGATTGGTTTTGGGGTTGTTTTTTTTTTTTGATTAGGTAATGTTTTCCAAAGTGTATGTCATATGCTAAAACCGTGGCCAGAACTCGCTGTCATCTGCCAGGACATTTGTTGATCAAAACTGACCTTGATGACTCGGTTTGGCACTCAGGAATATTGTAACCAGAATTTTCACCTCCATGACATCAAAAATCAGAGGGGATAACATTCATAAACTACACTTTAGTAAGCTCTCCATTTGGCAGATTTGATTAAATAAATCAAGTGTTTTCAAAGGAGTATCACCTGCCAACCAAATGCTGATATGCTTTGATAGTTTTTGAATTCGTTGTGTTTCACAATCAAAGTATTAGATAATGCTCATCATGAGAGGAAACAGAAAACAAACTGAGGTTCGTACTGAGAAACAAATGCACATAAGTGATGGGATATGTGATTCTGTTAACAATACGATGATGAGCTGTGGAAATTGCATCATTTTCTAACTTCAGGTTTTCCTGATGCGTGACAAAAAAGTGTGACCCAGTGGGTTGCTCTAGCCTCTGGATTTCATATAGTATGTAAGAGATAGATCTTTTGTAGAGCTTACTTTTATTATTAAATGTACTGAGGTATTATATTTAAAGAAAAACATTTTCAGACTTCATCTGCCACTGGTTATTTTTTTCCAAAGAGAAACTTACAAGTTTTCAGTACAAATCTGTGCTACACTGGATAATACTTCTAGGGATTTTTTCCCTTCCTTCTTTTTTTTGCACCTTAATCTCATGGTAATATTGAGCTGTAAAAGTCAATTTTATATATTTGTGAGTTTCATGAATATCCTTTGTTACATAAAACTTCTTCAGTATGATAGCTTTTTTGGTTTTAGTTTTCCCAAACATATTAGAGGAACTTACATTGTGCTTTTGCCCTTATACTGGCCTGATCCTGACAATTCTATCTTACTACAAGTTCCAGTGAAACCAGCTGGGACCACTAAGGTTAGAATTTGCATAACTAAAGCCTGTAAGAGAGGTAAATGAATTGTTGTCTTAATACAAAGGCATTTCAGCTGGACAGGGTGCTGGGCCATCTTGTCCAGATGATGCTTTTACCAAGAAAGGTTGGACCAGGTGATCCTTGACATCCCTTCCAACCTGAATTCTGTGACTATGAAAAGCAGCTCCTCTGCTATACTAATAAAATTTGTTCCTCTGAAACATGGTTTCCAGACCAGTTTTGGCTGGGAGCTATAGACTGCTAAATCGAAACAGGCTAATACAACGTATGGAATATTTGTTCTGGTGAAAAAAAGCATTAGTGTAATATTTCCAAGTTTGACTTGATCTTTTTATCTGTGTCAGCTACCTAGTTAAACCATTTGCTAATCTGAGATGCCTACAGCATAAAAATAATGTTTAGCATTTTTCATGTCTTTGTTGCAAGAAGAGCTGGGTCAGTCTTTTTATGTTTTTAAGTAAATGAGCAATGCATCGTGAGAATTGTAGTTTACTCCCCATTATTTCAGTCTCAGATCTTTTCATCCTTTATCCAGCTTGTGCTGAGGAAATCCTGCTTTTTAGTTTGATTGGTCCTGAAAGCTTCTGTAACTTGGAAAGTTAAAGGGAGGTAGGAGTTCAATCTATCATTTTCCAGTCCTGTTGTTTGGTCACATGAAAGAGGAAGGAATTTTATTTCCTCCATTTTACTCTTTGTTAAAATTGCAGTTTTGAGCCTAGAAGATGGGGAATAGTTGCCTAGGGAAGCTAGCAGACTCCCAGTCTTTTTAAAATTTTGGTAAAAATAGCAACATCAAGATGATTTATTAACAAAAGATAGCAACAGCCTTTATTTTACCCTTGGATCCATTTTGACGTAAGTTTGCAGATATGAATGCAGGGTTTTTTAAGTGTCTGAGATCTAGAATAAAAACCTGTTAAAAACAATTGGCTAATAATTCAGCTTTTAAATGCATTTTGCATTCTTCTGTATCCAGGTCATAGTTTTCTCTACCTTTAGCCCTCACAGGGCTTTAGCACAGAAGATGCTAAAGAAGGAAAGAGAATTAAGAGAACTCATGGGTTGGGGTTTTTTTTCTCAATTTTTGACTTGTTCTTCATCATTTCTCCTGAACGTGATCCATTTAAAAATCCTTTCAGTCCCCAAGAGTGCCTGGAACCTTAGTAATGGAAAAGCAATATAAATTCCAAAATAACCAATAGGGACCTGAAAAGGTTTGTATCTGCACTAATTGAAAGTAAATGAAAAGCATAACACCATACTGAGATATACACCCATACATGTGGACAATCAAATAATAGAAAATTAAATCATTTCTTAGAGCCAGGGATATAATGCACTGTACAATCTTTTTTTTCCTCTTTTGCCAAAGTGTGTTTTAGCATTGCACACTGCTTTAAAACAATACAATTTACAAGTGGCTTTATGTGTTCTGAATATTTTTGCCATAAAAAAATGCAGTGAGTGGATAAAGTGGGGAAAAAAAGAAAATTCATCTTGCTATAACAGTACATTTTAGCTTGCAAGTTACTGTACTCAATGCTGTATTTGAATTGTTAAATTGTTTTGTGTTATTAAAAAATGATGATGAAAGAATATAGATAAATAGCATTCAGAAATTTAAAAACTTTTATGAAATGGATTTTACAGAAAGCTTTGACAGTTCTTTTCAAATGCATTATTTATTTTGTGCCATGCATTTTTCTCACCAAATGACCTTACCTGTAATACAGTCTTGTTTGTCTCTGTTTACAACCATGTATTTATTGTAATGTACATACTGTAATGTTAATTGTAAATTATCAGTTCTTATTATAACATCATCCTTGTCAGGGTGGTGTTGCTATATTTGGAAACTCTTGGTGAGAGAATGATTGTGTATACATATTCCTTGTACATTTTTTTTCTCCTGTAAGATATCCAGTGTCACCTTAGAGCTTGTTTATGGAAGAGTCGAGAAAAGTATAAAATTCATAAAGATAACAATAAAAAAAGCTGCAGGTCTTTGGTCCCAGGGCTGTGCCTTAACTTTAAACAATATTTTCTTCTGTTTTGCTGCATTTGGAAGTAACATAGCTGTGGGGCTAGGGCTGGGCATTTCTACCATATTTTTAGTTGCTGACAGGTGGGGATAATTGTATGAGCTATTATGCATGATACTACAATGAGCTTTCATTCACGACCCTACTGGAAGTTCAATCTTTTCCAGACTTCTGGCAATGTAATTGTATTGCCTGTCTTATAATCTTTTTTACAAGCTATCATCAGGGTTTATTGCAGCCATTTTTTTCTCCTAAAAAAGTATAAAATCGATACTGTATTTCAGTACGAAACTCTACTGAAACAGCTTTGGAAAGCATCTGTAATAAGCATTTGATTTTAGTGCATATTGGGAAATGGAATAGTCAGAATTAAAAGGGTATAACTTATACACTTTTACATTGTCTGTAATATCTCTTCTTTATTTAATAGTACAAACTATCACTATATAAGCAGAATCCATAAAGTAGGACAAAAGACAACTTTAATCTTGTAAATGCTTTCCAACACCAATATTAGTGTTATAAGCAGCCAAAGTTTTATTTTATATAGTTGTATTTAAGGCTTTGCACAGGTTTGTATAGCATGATGCACTAGATCTAGAGGAGGGTGGTAAACCTTTAGATCTTTTAATAACACTAGTGTTAGGTTTGCAGGTTGGACCGAGCATCTCTTGCTGTTTGACCTGCTACATTGCTTCAGACTACTTAGAGCTGATATCAATGAATTTGCCAGAGTGAGGTAAATACCTCTCCTCCATTCCAGTGATGCCCAGCCCTTGTAGCATGGGACTTCTTTATGAAAGGAGAGATTCTTTTTCAAGGAAAAACAGAGCCTCCTTTTTGACACAAACTGTAGATTTTAGCAGCCCTGGCCCAAAGGAAATTGATTGCTTTTGTTTTAATTGGTATTAAAAGGGACACCGTATCAACAGAAATCCTGAACAATTTTTTGTTATTGTTTTAATTTGATTTTTCTTTTTGTTATGTCTTGAGAGTGGCAACTTGTGTGGACATTGCACATGACTATTCTTTCACTGGTTTCTTAGCCTCTCTTACAGCCTAGGGGATAGTATTGTACATCAATACCTTCATATGAAATTTTATATGCAATGGAAATAAAAGCATGGGTTGATTCTGCCTAGTTACTGTATTTTATTTTCTTTTGCAAGTTAAATTTTTTTTACATAGCTGTGACATCTTAAGTGAAAGCATATTTCCTGAATAATTTGATTACCATATTTTTGTCATCATAGTGTTTTGCATAGCAAATACAAAATAAATGTGGGGATAAATCAGAAAAGTCAATCAGATGTGGTATTTTATAAAGCAATCTAATTCACAAAGGTGCTATACAGTTCTGTAGAAAGACTTTCAATCTCAGTTGTCAGAAAATTTTACCATTGGCTTCAGTGGCAAAAGCAGCCTGCCTAGAGGAACAATACACTGGGATATCACAAAGAAAAAAAAAAAAAGAGTACCACAGTTAAATATTGAACAGACAATCTCAGCTCTAAATGGATGATCAAAAGAAATAGCATTTTAAAATAAAATTCATAAGTGACAGCTATTGTCTTGAAGAAGAAATATGATCTTAAAGCAGGTCCAGTTCTTGAAGTGGCTTTCATGCACCTCTCCGTGATCAGAGTGAGAATTTTGTTATTTGGGGGGTTGGTTGTTCGGTTAACTGAAAATAGTTTACGACTGAATAAAAAAAAAAATTCTATGTCCATTCTTTCCTTAAGTCTTAAATCCTCCTTTAGGTTCGGGGTTAGCTTGCAAGGAGTACCAATCCCTAGGACTGTTTTTTCAATCCTTCCTTGGTGGCAGAAGAGTCTGGTAAGTGCTGTGCTGGGAAGATGAAGGATGCCACGCTCAGCAAGGCAGATAAGCCAGATGGTGGTGCCTATTGCTCTTTGTAAGCTCATCCTCACATGTTCCCAGCAGCCCTAGTGGGAAAATGGTTTGCATAGATCACGGGCATTATGAAGGGAAGAAGCAATCCCAAATTCTTGTTGGCACTACTGAAACCTTTTCAGTAAGCAGCTCAGGTACCACAGCTGTGCACGTGGTGAGCCTGAAACTGGCAGGATTAGCCCACTGCATCCTACATCTTCTGGCAGCACTTTGTCAGTCTCTGCATCAGAATAGGCAAGCTTCAGAGCAAATCCAAAATGCATCCCGTTTCACTGTAGCAAGCTGCTGCTAGAGCAGTTGAATGTGTTTTTAACCGAATGACTCCTGTTTCCTAATGAGACAAACAGTCTGAATAGCTGCAGCTTTGTTTGCTCGATCTCTCTGCTCCACTGAAAACAAAAGTCACAGCTAACTAGAACACATAGTGTTTAGTGGGATGACCAGCCCAATTTTACTACCAGCTATGAATAATTTTGCTTAGTTTTTTCAGGAAAAAACAAAAACCTCAATGCAAAAGTTCAAAGCTGCTATAAAAGCTTTTAGTTAGTTCAATTTAATTTAGCCTGCAGGGTGAAGAAAATCTCCGGCTTCTTTGTGTCAAACTGGTTGAGAAATCTGCAAAAGTAATAAAGGGGATAGGAAGTCCATACAGTAATTAGAGAGACAAACGGGGGGAAAAACCTGGACAGGGAGAAATACCCTCTAGCTAAAATAATCTTGTCAAAGGCAATCCCATAGCTTGTATAGCAGAACTGACTTTTTAATTTGATTGTGTCTCACTTCCACAGGTACAAAGCTGTATCTTTTTTCCTTCTCACAAAGCAATTATCTTCACGTCCATCCATGAAGTTATTGTGGCAGTAAGAGCTATGTATGCATTTAAAATGGACATTTAGAAAGTCAAAAATTTTGATACAGTGCATATTAGCACAGCTTTAAAGAGTAAAAACGTGTGATGACTATCTCTGCTAAAGAAGCTCTTAGCATGGGAAGAGGAGGAGGATGATGACATCATACCTGGATAAACAGTGAGAGCAAGAAGATAGAGGACATGTGGCCCCTGATAGCATTAACTGTCTAGTGCTGATGAGCTGTGCTGACAGCAAATGCAAATCAGAAACTCGGCAGTCACGTTGCATAATGTTGTGCTCTGAGCTCAGCTGGCAGCCAGCCATCACATGGCCAGCCGTTCCCCTCCCT